TTGCAGATGACTCCGAAATGCACAGCCACCTCCTCAACCCCGTCGCTGCTGCTAGAACTCGAGCCCGATCCGTCTTCGGCCAGTTCCTCATCGTTGAGACGAACCAGGCCACTCATGCAGCTCTTAACCACGTTGATCATGGTTGGCTTGAGCGTCGGACAGCGGGCCACTAAGCGTTGGGCGAACACCAGCAGCTCGTCGAATCGGGCCATGACCGTCTCTTCAATGGCCTGCGCGTCTTCTGCATAGATGGCTGTCACCATAACGCCGGCCAGGTCCTGGAATTCTTCAGAGGCGCAAAGCTCCTCCACCGCCTTCTTGAACTCTTCATCTTCCAACACGTCGAGCAGTTGCTGCTTAACCGCGGCCAGTTCCTCCGAATCCTCGGCCACGTCCATCGTTTGTAGACTGGCCACCAGTAGGTTCATGGCGTTGGCCGGCGTGGGCTGCTTGGGCTTGGCCGTCGTCAGCTTAGACATGGCAGTTACCAGGCCGCGAAGTTGAGTCTGCACGGCGCTGGCGGCGCGACGGCCGGCCGGCTGCTGCGTCGCCACCGACACCGTTACGCTGTCCAGCTTCTCGTCGGCCATGTAATTGGCCAGTTCCTTAACGTCCCCGTCGTGGGCGATGGTCACTTCGTCACCGTCCGAGTCCGTGTAGCGCAGCAAGAAGTTCTGTTCATTTTCACTGGCCAGCAGCGCGGCCGCCGCGGCTCGCAGCGTGGCCACCGTCAACAGCTCTCCGGCCGCGCTGGCCAGTGGCAACGTCTGCGTAAGCGGCTCGTCGCCGATTGTCGTTAGCTCGATCGTTTTCGTCATCTTTCTTCTGCCTGTTCCTGGCGACTTGAGCAGGGCGAGGAGAATTGAGATCTGGCGAGAAACTAGAGAGGCGTTTGACAGTTGAAGTGGATGACCGGCAGAAGGTGATAACCTGACACAAACGCTGTATCAAATTTGTTTAGCTAGTTAATATTCCCTGTTGTAATTGATATACTGTATTGATCGATGTTTTCTTGTGAATTGAAGTAGAATGACGGTAAATTGGCTGGGAGAACAATCGCTGGAAGAGTTTTTGCTCTGGAAATCCTGTCCTGATTGCATTTGACTTGCTGAAAAAAGGCACCAAAGTACGCATTCACCAGCGATCGCGTATGAATGCTGGTGCAGTCGACTGTTCTAGAAGGATTTATTTAAACATCGTAGTGCGAGGATACATAGGTTGACGTTGTTTTGAGCTCAAAGTCAGCTTGTAGATTACCGTCCAGAATGTCTTAGGAACCATATCTCACTGTATTTCCGAGAATTCTTCCTCTTTTTCTGAGAAAACAATCCTAAAAGAACACACCAAGCGAAGCAACACTCCGAAACTAATAACTCGCCCGCCATGACGACGCTCAAGATCTTGTGGAAGGAGAAGCAGGACATGCGCCGCGTACAGGTGTCGGCCGTGCACCAGGCCTTGTCATCTCAGGACGGCCGCGTCGCCTCCGCCCGGAACGAGTTGAGCTTCCGTGACCTGCGTGATTACGTGTTGTTAGTCTTCCCTGAGCTCAAGGACGCGGAGCTTCTACTCTACTACATGGACGATGACGACGAGCAAGTACGCATCACGAACGACGCCGAACTAGACGAGGCCTTCCGTCTCATGCGCGAGCTGGCCGTGGCCGCCGGCAAGGACGCCGAGAACGCCGTGTGCAAGATTATTGTAGTGGCCAGAGAACCGCTCCAGGCCTCGGCCAGCTTGGCTATGGACGCCAGCAGCAGCTCCGTGGTCAACGTACTACCTGGCGATGCCGAGGAGATGCTGGCCAGCCAGCAAAAGAAGAAAATGTCGGACTTATTCGTGGATCTCGGCAAAATTGTGGATAAATGGGAGGCCAGTGCCGAGCACCAGACGCTCAAGAAGGACCTGGTGTCACTACTACACGAACCTGGCTGCCAGGAGGCGCTCATGGAGATCATGGCCAACGCCAAGTTCGCCACGCTGTTCCAGACAGTGACCGAGGAGTTCCAGAAGAACGGCAACTTCGTGGAGTGTCTGGTGGCCGTGGCCGCTACTGGCGACTTGGAGGAAGTCGCCAAGATCTTGCTGGCCAAGTGTCCCAACGCCCGTGTACAGGTGGAACGCGTTCTACAGCAAGTTCAGTACAGTCACAACGTCCAGCTCATGTCGACTAGTGACTACTTTGAGACGATTAACATCGAAGAAACCAAGCAAGACTTGGGGCCCGTTGTGGCCGTGTTCGAAGGTGACGTCACATGCCCGGATGGCACAGTATTGGCTCCTGGAGAGGCCTTTGATAAAGTGTGGAAGCTCCGTAACGGAGGCCCCAACAAGTGGCCTATCGGAGCTGTGCTCTCATGTGTGGGCGGTGACAAGATGCAGGCCCCTGAGA